ATTTCTAGTTAGAGAAATTTAAGAGGCTCATCCCTCAAAACTGTAAATACAAAAAAGTTGCACAAAATAGTTTCCCACCACAGGAAATTTATTTTGAGTGTCTTCATAGTTTTATTTTTGAAATACACCAATTTTCATACACTGCAGGAAAAACGAAAATAAATATTATACTGCAAATTTGCAAAATAACAGCATATGCATCAAAATAAACTATTTCCAGCAGTGCAATATGAGTCCTAAGCATCCCAGAAACGACACAGAAAGTCATAAACTCAAACATAACTTTTTAAAACACAAGTATAGGCTCATAAGGCCCCGATCGTAAAAAAACTACATTTCCGCAAAATGACGTCACTTCCGGTTTCGGGCAGGTCATGCGGTCATGTGATAGTTCGCGCTGATGGACGTAGGAAGTGTTACAAACAGCTGATCGGATCGGCGAAGCGTGTTTCTGGAATATCATGTTTTTGTTGCTGCAAGTGATTTTTATGCAGTTTTTGCAAAGCTATATGTGGAAGGAAACTGTGACCTAGGACAAGCTGATGCATCAGATGTAAGTACAACTCCTCCGGTTTCATATGCAAAAAAATTATTGCGCTAGCTTAAGTGGTTGCAGAGCTACCGGGATTTAAAAATAGTTACGCGAAATGGAGCGTGCCCGCTCCGATCGGCTGTAAAGGGTTAACAGGTTGATTTTTGTACATTTAAAACCTGAGTTAAATTTCAGTAAAGGTTCAGCCAGTGTGGTTAATATTAAAATTGTTATAAGATCATTGCAAACAACAGAACATTTGTGGTATCTGCTTTACATTGAATCCAACACTAAGCTAGTTTGGTCAAAACTGGGGGACCAGGTTTTGGAGACAGTATAGAGCAGTTAGACCACAGATAAAATACAAAGATGCAACGATTAACATATGTATGTAACCTTTGTAAGTAGCGTTTGCTTTTCAGTCTTCTTTCCTAACACTGCTACTGAGAAACAACAACTGCTGTAACTAGTTGAAGGTGCACGACAACAGATCTTTTTTAGTTTTCTGCTTTTCATCTAACCCACCACTCAACCTAGTTCGATCAAAACTGGTGTACCAAGTAGTACAGAGCAGTTAGAGCGCAGCTAAAAGACTGTGTGAAGATTAACACATGTATGTAACTTTTGTAAGTAGCTCAAGCTTTCCTGGTCTTTACATTTCTCAACACTTCTGCTGAGAAACAACAGCTACCCTAACTAGTTGAAGGTGCACAACCACAGATCTGACACCTTTTTCAGTGCAAACTGATGCTTCACCACAGGGCAAGTTCTCACGATATGAACTCTGTGCTTGGCCAAACCAGAACAGAGAAGTGTCATCAGCTTCAGACTACAGGAAGGAGCTGCTGTGGTTTTACATGCAGAACATTTTTAGGTAGTTAAAAAGGACAAACTCCCTTTTGACAAGAAGAAAACTTCAGCAGAACCAGGCACAGGGAGAGCAGCCATCACCTGTGACTGGTTGGAGTGAGGGGAGGAAGACATTGTTAAGGATATGCTGTAGAGATAAAGCAGACACATGTGAGCCTAATCTGTTCAGGTGTAGCACTGTGAAAAGTTATAACACACCTTACATCTCTATAAAACAGAACTGTGGATGAGTCGATGTTATTAGTAAAGAAACAGAAACATCAAGAAAAGAGTATGTGGTGGATGTCTTTGTGTTTTCAGCAGCTCACTCTGAGTTGTTTGTGAGAAAGGTGGAGTCAAAACAAGTGAAGCTACGTCAGAGTCCTGACCCATGGGTGCATGAAGGCAAGTCCTTAACCTACTATGATAGAATTTAACAAATATCTGAGGACAGGAATTATAGTAAAGAAATGGACAATAGAAACAATCAGAAAGGGTAAAGGTGAAAAAAAAAATTAACACAATACACAAACAATTAACCAGTGACTAGATTTGGGCAGGTTTCACAGTTTGGAATATGCGAGTTGTTTATGCTCACTTAGTTGTTCAGGAAAAGTCATTGATGAGAATTTACTGAATATCTTTATTTTATGTTCCAAAGAAAGAAATCTGCCTGTATGTTATAGATTGAGTCTAATGTGTATAACCTCAGCTCTGCATTTTACACAACTGAACATCAAATCCTGATTAAAAGGTGGTGGTATTATTTGTAATTTACCTACAGCTTTAAATTTTTTATTGTCAGACAGACAGGAGACCAATAAGAGCAGCTGTACCTCTCATCTGTGATCTGGTTTTCGTGTCTTTGATGATGATTCGACCATAACCGATGTCTTCTGTTCTCACTGCAGAGTAGATTACTGCTGCATCACTGTCTGCACAATAAAACACACAAATTGTTGGTCTAACATAAATATGAAACAGTAAAGTCATTTAAACTTTGAGTAAAGCTACATATGTTAAACTGAGTTAAGCTAATTATAAAAGGAAATTATGAATAAAACGATAGTAAGTTTACTTAATGTGAATATGAATTATTTATTTCTAACGCCTGATAGAGAAACACCTGCAGGTAACTTTAAAAACAGTCATAAACAGGAAACTGTACGACTGCAGAGGTGTTAGCTTGTGTTAACCACAGACAACAAACACAGAGGGCAGTGTGCAAAGAACAATGCTCAATGAGCACAGAGTGAAATTTTACACTTTAAAAAAGCATAATCAAAATGACTGAGTTTAATAAATTTGAATAAAGGAAACAAATCAAATGAAAAACAAAAGTGACATTAAAGCCGTGACATACAAAGATGGACTCTGGCGAAATTACTACTGGGTTCAACTTTAGCATCAATTTAATAGAACGTTTATTTTTCTATTACAATTCACAGTTGTACTTTCTTCACCTGCTTCATAATATCCTCATAGAAATCTTTTCATGAGACGTAAAATCTCTATGAATATAATCAGAACTTAAAAGTATTTTATAAAATTGGAGCTGAATAAACACAAATAAAATAACCAACAAAGGACCTCAAATTACCGTTGTTTTGTTTTTTTGGATGTTGATGACTTGATATTTTAACATCACTGTACAAGATGTCATCTGTGAGGCCATTTTCCACAGCTTCATCTAGTGAAATTATTAAAATTAAGAAAGTATTTACAATCACAACATTTTACAGTGAAGAGTCCAAATAAAAACAAAAAAATAAACAGTTTTACATTTTTAATGTGAAATTAAAATCAAAATCATAATAAACACAATAAACATAAATAGCATAACACATGGATTTACATAACCACATATAAAATTCAAAAGTCTCACCTTCAGGTTTCCTGTGAACACATCGTCTCACCAGCAGAACCAGTAACACCAGTAGAACCAAAGCACACACTGATTAGAGCAGGGCGATATGGCCAAAAATATTTATCACGATATATATTTGCAAATTTGCGATAACGATATAACTGACGATATAATTGATGCGAGACAAAATACAACTCCACAACATTACTAGTGCAAAAAGACAACCTTCCATTTATTTTCACTTAAACAAGAAGCTGGTTTTTATGTACATTAAAGCTTTATAAAAATGTAACAGTGCAAATGCAAATTCCTTGCTGAAAGTTTAACCAAAAGGCATTTCCAGTAGAAATGGGCTGACATATCCTGAGCATAACCATGTATAATATCCACTGAAGTTAAAAAGAGGTGCTTTGCAACATTAAACAGTGTGCAGTACGTATTTTTCGGACCATAAGGTGCACGGGATTATAAGGCACATTAAGCGAAACAAAGCAGTTAGATAAATCAAACTTTATTCAACTCATTCTTGCTTCCTCCACTTCTGTACCATTGATTCATTAGTGTTGAATTCTCTGGCAGCTGCTCTATTCCCATGTTGTTGCAGTATATTAATGACTAACCTCGTATTGTGGATGGATTATCTCAGTTGTTCTCCTGACTGAAGTTTGGTCCGTTTACAGCATCCTGCCATGCGACTGAATTTGTCTCCAACTATCAGGAACCTTAACGTTAACTTTTACAAGTGGAAAAGTGTTAGTGTTCGTCCTCCAGCTTCACTGTTTATGTTATGCTAACATAGCTGTGTCGCTAGCGATCACGTAGCACATCATTATATACCAGCTAGCCCAACTTCAGTAACCCTACAAACGTCACTGCTGTTTAGTTTCCTGTCTTCATTTATGTTGGAAGTGATAGCGCAGCTGTACGTTTGAATTTTTTCAGAAATCTCTCAGTCAGAACATGCTATATCATGCTTAGGTAACTAGCGAAACTAGCGTGCTAACTTCCGCTAGCTTCCTGCTAACTTCTAACTCCGTTAATGTAATAAATTTTGTTTTCATGGATGCCTGGAAGTTAAACTTCATAGTTACACCTGGTAAAGCAGCAATGCTGATCGTTTTATTAAAGATGAAAGAATTTAGACAGTTTTTAACTCTCAGTGATGCTGCAGTGTTGTTTGACCTGAGAAATACGGGGTTTAGGACCCAGATTACTCCCAGATTTAAGAGCATCTTAGTCCGACAAATACGACAATAAGGACAGCCGCTTGCATGTTCTGCAAAAAATGTGCTTTGTCGTGTATCTGACGGACAAACACCAAACCAGTTCCACATCACGGAAGTTGCACCATTTTTACAAACCAATTCTGGTTCATCTGTTTCACTCAACAATCGGCCATGTGCGTATGAAAACAAAGGCACTGCGCATGCGCGTTTTACTCATATTCTATCGCGATATTTCATTTTCCTATCGTTGCCTAACATTATACCGGTATTACCGTGAACGGTATAATATGGCCCAGCCCTAACACTGATCCAACACATGACAACACAGAGAGAACAGGAGGAGAGAGTGATGGAGGAAGAACGATGGAGGTGGAACCAGGGGGAGATGTGGATGTAGGTGGAGGTGTGGTGGTGTTGCTCTCTAAAATAAAGCAAACACAGTCATTAAGTTGTTGTTACATTGTGAATGTTGAAAGCTGCAGAAACACAGACAGGTGAGTGTGTCACCTGTGACAGTGATCCAGCTGGATGGAGACTCTCCATGACCGCTGATGTCACACTTGTAGAGGCCTTCATCAGACCTGGAAACATGCTGGATGGTCATGTGACCTGTAGGCTGCTTCCTGATGAGGGAGCCATCTTTATAGAAAGCAGCTGGGAGGTTGGAGGGAGTGGTCTTTGTTTTACAGAGCAGAGTGACGTCATCTCCCTCCATCACAGGGAGGACAGGACTCTGCAGGATCACTGATCCACCTCAACACAGAGACAAACTACAGCATTTCATCCATTTACACACAGCTTCATCAACACTAACTCCACACACTCAGCTTACCAGTGACTGTCAGGTTAACCATGTTACTGATGGGACCCTCTCTGGACTCACACCAGTAAACTCCACTGTCATGAGGCATCATAGAGGTGTTACATGAAAAACCAGCTGGTTTTCCCCATGTACTTCCACACTGACACTTCTGTCGTGTGCTTGTATTTCTCCTCAGAGTCCATCCAGCAGAGCTGTCGTCCTCCTCACAGCTCAGAGACACAAAGTCACCTTTAAAGAACTGAGAGCTGCTGGGACTGACAGTCAGACGAGCTGTGAGGTTAAAATGAAAAACTGATGATCTGTTTGATTCATGAAACATGAACCCAATCAGGTCATATCAGTGAGCATTTCTCAGGTTTAAACTGTGACAGAAGAAGGTTACTGACCTTGGTTTGTTGTGCAGCTCAGCAGTGAGATTAGAACTAAAGAGAAATGACACTCAGCTTGATTTGACTGTATTTTAAACATTCTTTGCTTTATAAATGATTATTTCTCAGATCATGTATTCACTTAAATTCAGTTCAATTTAATTTTGTTTTGCCAAATCACAATAACATTGGGCTGAAAGTTCTTTGTTTTGTAATGCAATTATGCTGAGACCCCCCCAAAATCAGACAACTCCTTCTGACCAAGCACTTTGACACTTACAGCCACACAGCGTTCCTTCAAGCAAATCTCATATATGTTACCTCCCCTCCCGTAGCAGAGCTGGATTGTAAGCAGTGTTGGGACTAACAAGTAACGCGTTACAGTAACTACGTTATTATTGTGGTAATGAGCACAGTAACTAGTTATTATGCCAAAATCAGGAACGCGTTACTCGTTACTGGGATTTAGATAGGGTCGTTACTCGTTACTTCGTTTGGTGGCTATCGCGGAGCTTCCACAGATTCAGTAACATTAGCAAGTGGTGGAGGGCAGCAGGTGGATGAGGGAAAGTGGAGGCAGGAGGAGCAGAGACCCGAGGCGGCCGCTGGTCCAAGTGTGAACTGAACTTCAGGTAAGAAGTTATGACCTGCAGTCTCTCTGGGTCAGATATAAACCAAGTTTAGGTGGAGTTTATGAATTATGCCTTATGAATGAAAAAAATACAAATTAAAAATAAACAGTGTCATATTATTTACTTGGCATGAAATGACTAACATGGCTTCTTTTTTATAGGGTATGGAAGAACGTGCCATCAGTGAGACTGTTGAAGACACCACTGTTTGAATTTATCTTCTTAAAGAGCAAACTTCAGCAGATGAACAAGAGTTGTCCTTGCAGGCATCAGGGTGGCGAAGAATTTGGATAATGTAGCATTTGCTGTGATAATGCTATTTGGACTCATGTATGCATTAAACCTTGCCTACCCTGCTGACCTTCGCTACAACGTTGACATTTTCCAGAAGGTTTTCATAAGTCACTTGAATTGGCAACATCAGCCTTTTGGTAATAACATAGATGGACTGGAAAACTGACAGCTTCAAGTTTACATTGAGCTCTCTCTTCACCACAATGGACCGGTACAGCCTCCACATCAATACATATGTCAATGTCACGCTTAGGTCCCCCTTCACACTCAAACTTCACTCAGGGCAGGAACTTGTCCTGGATTGCCCACTTCATGCTTTTACTGCTGAGAATTACGCCCTTAGATTCTAGGTGCTAATTTTCTTTCTTGCTGCTTAACACCACATTAATTAGAGTTGACAAAAGCAAAGCTGATATCCTAAGGCAACTAAAGTGGAGATGCTCCACTTCCTGGCTATGCCTTGATTTCCGTACCATTAAAATTATGAACAGAATTTGTGAAAAAAGGCAGCCCTTACAGAGTCCAATATGGACCAGAAGAGAGCAATATAAGCAAATTCACATACACCCTTGGATATTTTTTTTAAGGATGAAGAGCTCCAGTGTTCCACAACCAGGATGTGGAACACTCTGAGATTCAACTAACAGACAGACACTCCTCTGCAGTACCCCGACATAGACGAAGTTAGGGAGGTGGAAAACTATGTGTTGGACGGCACTCTCTGGTGCCCATCTGCTAATCCACAGGCATCACCCAAGACCTCCACAGAATGTTGCAGAAAGATCAATCAAGACTGCAACAGAAGATCCAGAGTTTTAAGGAATTCAGAGCACACCTTGTCCTCCTCACAAGCTCTTCCACCAAGCAGTTGCATAACTAGAACAGTGACCTTAACCCACTGATAAGCACAATCACTGGACACTGCTTCCATAGTCTCAGTACTCAGGGATCAGTCCGCCAGCGTTTCCACCCTTTGCCATGGATGAATGCCCGGCCATGAGGCACTCACCCACCGGTACCCTCCACAGGGCAAGGTAACCCTATCCTGGACAGGGTTAAAAGTTCCCTAGATCTTTCACTCATAGGGGTCTTCAATCACTCTTTGTCTGATCCCTCTCCAAGGGGCAGTCAATTTTACGTAAGAGAACCTAACAAGAGGGAAAACGCCCCCTGACAACATAGCCCGTGGGACATACTGATCCCTCCACTATGATAGAGTTGTGATTCAATGAGGGGCATTTAGAAATATTTCTTAATAATTCCTCTTTTTCTTGTATATTTTCCATTCATGATCAAATAATGAATTGCTGCATGAATGTTTAATAAGGCAGCTATGTTGGGCGAGTAGGTTAATCTTTGATGTCTAGTTTTTCATCTCCCAAGAATGTAATTCAACAGATCTCAGTGGGATCTATACTGAACTAAGGGATAGAATCCAAACATCAATCCTTTCCAAGTAGTTTCAATTCAATACCAATATTAGGGGCAGTGTCAATACTATTGAGCTCGAGCTCTCCTGTAAGAGTCATTACTCCAGTAAATTGCAGCAGATTTTAAGTGGTACTTATTGTTTTATAAAGCTTCACTGAGGTGTAACACAAGGGTCTCTGAGCTGGTTCAGGAGATAAGCCTGCCGTGTCCGGTCTGAGTCACATGTTCATCAGTTTGTAGTTCATCTCTAAACTCTTCAGCTCTCTGGCTTCATGTTAAAGCTCTGAGTGTTACACTGTGAATGTTCCCAGATGGAGGAATGATAAATGGACACTCAGTGACTTTCTAGTCCAAGTTAACACAATTAGATTACTTTATTTTTTGTTTAGCAGACAAAAGTTTCAAATGTGAAGTTTGTAATCAATAATAAAGATAAAGGTAAAGACTCACTTAAGAAGAATGTTTAGGCTGTTATTTGTATTTTAACATTGATAAGTTAATTAACGAAAATAAAATGTTCTGCCATGAAAGCAGCTGCTGGCTGGTTTCAGTGTGATTTAAAACAAAGCTCTTTGCGTTATCATTAACAAACACTAAATTGTTTTTGTTGCTGTGGTTTAATGCTTCTTTTTTTCTTTTTAGCCACAACCAAACCGGAAGAAGTCAAATTTTCCATCTGACATCTTAGTGAGACCCACAAAACCACACGTGGAAAATAAGAAAGAATAAAATTTTATTAAGGCAGAGAAACTAAATTGTTGATGGGGAAATACAAACGATGGTCTGAGACATATTTTTGAATATAAATAACAGGGAACTTACTGTGGCCATAAGAAACATTAACACATTTATATTTTCATTGTTGATTTTGCAGGAAAAACACTTTTAAAACTCCAGTTAAAAATACATATTTGTGATTTTTGAATTGTAATATTCTAAATGAGAAAAAGACAAAGAAAAATAACAGCATGTGAATGTCCTCTGGTCTGAGGTGCTGGGGGGACTAGTTAGAGACCAGCAGTTGGGCGTCAGTGGTTGGACTGGTACGCTACTTCAGTGAAGAGTAGACGACATCTGGCTCTGGTTTAATGTCTGAACACAAACACACAATTTTAAGATTTTTTTTGTTGATTGTTACACAAATTTGGAAACTAGGGGGCGGTTGCTTTTTGAGGGACATTAGTTGAAAAGGATTCTGGGAAATGTCAAATGTTCCTGGTGGTTTTTCTACAGTGAATATCTCAACCCCTAAATTATGTCAGGCTGCATAATTAATGCTGAAGCATAAACAAGGGTAACATTAGTATGTGAACGAAGCCGCAGCAGAGCTGTTGGGACTTGAATCTGTTTTTAGCACAAGGCTTTCAAATTGTATGAAAGTTACATGCTATAGCACAGAGTAGTAGCTTTTAGGAAAGTTGTTCCACTGATCATCAGCTAGCTTGCATCTGTCTACAGTTAAAGATACAAAGTAGCTGTACCTGGGTCTCCTTGGTCTGATGGTTGTTTGTTTCATGACTTCTTCAGTTCTCACAGCTGGAGAAATTGCAGCTAGATCAGCGTCTGCAGAATAAAACACATTAAGGTTACTGAAGATAAAACTGCAACAGTACTGGTTTTTGGTTATTTGTAATGTTCCATTATAAAGGGACTTTGGGATGATTGTTATACACAACAACACCTTTTTACAGACTTATAAATACCTGTGATACACAAAGTGACCACGAAGAACTACTTATGTGATATGAATGTATGCTTTCTTTCAGTGCAGTCTGACACCTTTAACCACAGAGCAAACATGTTCTCACAACATGAACACTCTCATTGGCCAGATCGGAACACACTGCAGTGAGAAGTCTCATCAGCTTCCATCAGCAACTACAGTTAACTAAAATCATCTTCAAGATGAATGTTAAACATGTCAGAATGCTACAGAAACTCCAAAATTAGGTTTTATTGAAATACTTTTTCAAAATATGTCTCCACGATCCTTCGTATTTTAAAATGAGCAGCTCTGTGTTGAAACACCTGCAGCTGAAGTGTTTCTTTCTATCAGAAACAGGATGCTGGACGACTGCAGAGCTGTTAGCTTCAGTTAACCACAGACCACAAACACACAGTCCAGCTCACAGTTAAATATATTTAAGTTAGACTTAAATATTGTGATTTTAGCTTTTGATCAGGCAAACATTTTTAAACTTCTGATCATCCCTCTGATTCTATATGTCCTCATAATCCATCAAAGTCAGCAACAGTCTTCATGAAACCATAACATAATATACAACTATTCTATTTTCCTTATCTATTTTCACAATGTAAAGCTGCACAAAAGTCCTTCTAGAAGCAAATTTAACATCTCAGTTATGTTGTATATGTTTCAAAGTACTACCTCTGTTTTGTGTGATTGGCTGTTGATAATTTGGTGTTTTGACAAAAGAGTACATGACATGAGTGATGATTTCATCTTCTTCAGTTTCTTCTTGATCTATTGAAATGATCCAAAATAAACAATAATATAAGTTAAATAGCTAAAAAAGATCACATTCAAGAAAGTTACTGTGATCATAATTAATTTGAACTTTATTCTACTAAACAAACTCAAACATGAAAGATCAGGAAGTCTGAGTCTCACCTTCAGGTTTCCTGTGAACACATCGTCTCACCAGCAGAACCAGTAACACCAGTAGAACCAAAACACAGACTAATCCAACACATGACAACACAGCGAGAACAGGAGGAGAGAGTGATGGAGGAGAGGTGGATGTAGGTGGAGGTGTGGATGTAGGTGGAGGTGTGGTGGTGTGTTTTTCTGAAACAAAGCAAACACAGTCATTAAGTTGTCGTCACATTGTGAATGTTGAAAGCTGCAGAAACACAGACAGGTGAGTGTGTCACCTGTGACAGTGATCCAGCTGGATGGAGACTCTCCATGACCGCTGATGTCACACTTGTAGAGGCCTTCATCAGACCTGGAAACATGCTGGATGGTCATGTGACCTGTAGGCTGCTTCCTGATGAGGGAGCCATCTTTATAGAAAGCAGCTGGGAGGTTGGAGGGAGTGGTCTTTGTTTTACAGAGCAGAGTGACGTCATCTCCCTCCATCACAGGGAGGACAGGACTCTGCAGGATCACTGATCCACCTCAACACAGAGACAAACTACAGCATTTCATCCATTTACACACAGCTTCATCAACACTAACTCCACACACTCAGCTTACCAGTGGCTGTCAGGTTAACCATGTTACTGATGGGACCCTCTCTGGACTCACACCAGTAAACTCCACTGTCATGAGGTGCTGTTACACCAATCTTACAGGAAGAACCAGCTGGTTTTCCCCACCCATCTCCACACTGAGTTCTCTGTTTCTTTGTTGTGTTTCTCCTCAGAGTCCATCCAGCAGAGCTGTCGTCCTCCTCACAGCTCAGAGACACAAAGTCTCCTTTAAAGAACTGAGAGCTGCTGGGACTCACAGTCAGACGAGCTGTGAGGGTTACAATGAAAAATATTTGATTTGTTATACTTTTGTTAAAACTGTTATAATTCTGTAATTAATCCTTCATTTAATAATTTTTATATGTGAGCACCATCGTGACTATATGAATCAGGTCATATCAGTGAGCATTTCTCAGGTTTAAACTGTGACAGAAGAAGGTTACTGACCTTAGTTTGTTGTGCAGCTCAGCAGTGAGATCAGAACTAAAGAGAAATGACACTCAGGTTGATTTGAGGTGAACATAAAGAACAACTCCACACAAACAGCTGACAAACACACAAACACTCGTAACTCTCTGAAATATCTGCTCATTTTCAATTTGAAGCCAGCAACATGTTTCTTTTTTTTTTTTTCTTTTTTTTTTTTTTGTCCCGTTTGGATCTATAGCCATCAGAATTGTTGTCTTAAGGCCAAGAAAGATGCCAAGCGGATTTATTTTACCAAGTGGATCATCATGGCCTTGCCATATTGGTCCATTTGATTGACCTTTATTATAATTATGAATTTATTTTATTTTCGGTTGCTACAAACGGGACAGCAACATGTTTCAATAAAGTTTGGACAAGAAAACACTTAAAATCTACCCATTTTCATAACCGCTTGTTCAAATTTCATGATACCATCAATGTATTCGCACATTTTGGACTTTTCATGATCCTCTACTCCAGTTTTTATGCAAAAAACAACATTTAAATTAATCATTATGTCCAGTGACTAAAGATTGAGTATACACACATTAACCACTACTTTTAAATAACTCAGTAAAGTCATGTGTTGACTTTCAAGCTGTGTTGATATAATGAGTGAATGATTTGATCTTTTCACTGCCTGCTGTGTTTCCTTGACTCCTGAGCAAAGATAAAGAGTCAGTTCAGACCTGCAGTTGGTTCTCGTGGTGTTTTGAACTTGAATTCAGCCTGATTTGTTTTTCATGTCTTCTCCTCCATCATCAGTTATCAGGAGAGCAGACAGTCAAAGTACAAGAATTCAAACAAACACAGAGATTCTACTTACAGAGCAGACACAGCACAGATGTTTCCTTCATCGTCCTTCTCACTCATTTGAGCTTTTTTTCATTTCTGTCACTGACACCAAGTAAAGCCCGCCCTCTTCCTCTGAGCACCAGCTTTCTATTGGTTCAAATAGAGTTAGTGGTTAGTGTGTGTGTGTGTGTGTGTGTGTGTGTGTGTGTGTGTGTGTGTGTGTGTGTGTGTGTGTGTGTGGTGTGTGTGGATGTCCCCCTCAGTGAGAGAGGCAGATATGAGCTGAAACAGGAATCAAACCAGGGACGCTGCTGTTATGGAGCTGAACTGGAACCATTCAGACACTGAGGCCCTCTGAACACATTTTAATTACAGCTGTGCAGAGACACACTGATGACTGACTGGAACACTATGATTCACATTTTATATTAACACCATCCTCACACATGGTTTATATATGTGACCACTAGAGGGAGATGTTGGACTTTAAATGCAAACTAACCAGTCATGTTAGATGATCACTGTGTTGATATGTAGATGTTAATGTAATTATAAGGACTTCTTTAAGTTGCTTGAAGACGTTTCACCTCTCATCTGAGAAGCTTCTTCAGTTCTAAGGTCAAATGGTGGAGAGTCCCAGATATAAACCTAGTGGGAATAACCCCCCACAGAGGGACAAAAGGACCCCCTGATGATCCTCTAATCTCCTGAGCCAAGGTGTGAAACTGGGTGTGGGTCCCAATCAGCCAGAGTTTCGGGTGAGCTCATTGTGAAACCTGGCCCCACCTTATCATGCGAATTCCTGAGATTAGATGGCCCAGGATGTGAGTTGGCGTTCAGGCGTCTGGGAAGGGATCTCAAAACTGGATTATAGATGGCAGAGAGTTGGTGTCGTAAACCACCGCCTCTGTTCAAAGATGGTCGCTCACAGTGAACATAGATGGCTTCTTTAACTCCTCTTTCAAACCATCTGTCCTCTCTGTCCACAATGTGAACATTGGCATCCTCGAAAGAGTGTCCTTTATCCTTAAGATGCAGATGGACTGCTGAGTCTTGTCCTGTGGAGGTGGCTCTTCTGTGTTGTGCCATGCGCTTGTGAAGTGGCTGTTTGGTCTCTCCAATGTAGAGGTCTGGGCATTCCTCGCTGCACTGTACAGCATACACCACATTGTTAAGTCTGTGTTTTGGCGTTTTGTCTTTCGGGTGAACCAGTTTTTGTCTTAAAGAAGTCCAGACACTTTTCTTTGCAAGCTCCTTTGACTACGATGACCTGGATGACTGAGAACCTTCACAGACATGTAATGATAAGGTTTACCAGCAGGGGGAACTGTATTTAAGAAAGCTCATGAATGCCTCCAGGACATAAGAATGGTATTAATAAAATGTTTGGGGCAGTAGCTCGCAAAGTAGAAGTGGATGGTGTGTTATTTTGAACAAGTGCTACGAAGGCAACACATGGTACCAGGAGTAAATGTGAAAGAGTGGAAGCGTTCAAAGTTCTGTTTGAGATGGAAGGTTTGAAGCCACCGGAAGGACTGAAACTGGTGCGGAATGGTGGTGAAACTGGTGGACAGCAACTGGTGGTGTTTTAAGCAGCAATTTGAGCTGTATATGGCTGCCATGGGACTGGACTCCAAACCCAATGCCAGGAAAATTACATTGCTGCTCACGTTACCTGGTCCTCAAGCCATTGAAGTCTTCAACACGTTTGAGTTTGAGGAACTTGGTGACACATTCACATTTTACATTAACACCATCCTCACACGTGGTTTATATATGTGGCCACTAGAGGGATGTTGGACTTTACATACTAACATGATTACAAGCAGATCATCAGTGATGCTGTCATAGTTGGATTAAAAGACATTAAGATGATAACTTTTTTATCAAGTATAAACATACTGTATTGAATGAAAAAGTTGTGTTTGATGTCACTGTTGATAAAGATTCCCTTCATTTAAATATGTGTTTTGGATGGTAATTAAATAAGTTGTGGAGACTGTGAGTGTAAAAAAAATCTTGGTTGAGT